GTGTGGCACCACCCCTAAAAGCTGTGGCGGCCACAGTTTTTTAGAGGGTTGTGCCACGCCCCATTAACTTATCTTCGAAACATTCAATTTTTGGTTTTTTGTATGGTTGCTACTGCTAAACCTTTTTCTCCGCGTGGCAGGAAGTTCATTCAAATCTGTTTCTCCTGGGAAAAAATATAGTGGTCTTTCCTTAGCTAAGCAAATGGAAAACACCACGAAAATATTGAATTACGATAATACGCTAAGTCTGCGCTACTACGTGTATCACGAGAGAAGGCAGGGAATAAGTATATTCGATAGCTTGATCCTCCTAACTTTCACAAAAGTGATTTGAGCCTGATTGGTCTTCTCTAGTCTGAGAAATTGAAAGCGAAAACGGGACAAACGAGATTTTGGCTTGCTCTTAATTCCATATTTCGGAGATTAGCTAAAGTGGGATTTCTAGTATGGGCAAAGAAGTAGTAGTACTTTGTAATGAGTGCAAAAAGAAGTAGTACTCACCTTTCAAACAAAGTTAGTTCGAAAACGATCATCTTTGAGAGGCCCACTGTTTGGAAACCTTGAAATTTGCCAAAACTTGGCCCTCAGGAGTTATTTGACATGTTAATTACGAAAATGGTACTCTTATGCTTTCAGAATTCTTTTAATATGCTTATTGTGCAAGTACGACGGTAGGCCAAAATCAGTTTTGGCATTTTGTACAATGGGCCTATCAGACATTGTTGAATGACATAATGTCGCTAACATGTCAACTGTCACACTGTCAACTCGATAACGACCCCCCCCCTCTTCTTGACCCCTCTACGACCCCAGGTGTGACATGCCACACCACACGCTTGACCCTGATTATATTTCATCTTGCCGCCTTCCTCGTTGTAGCGCAGACTTACCGTAACTCAATATTTTTGTAGTATTGTCCATTTGCACAAGTAAAAAATGACTGTACTTTCTTTAGAAGCGGGTTTGAATGACCTTCCTGCTATGTAGAGAAGAAGGCTCAGCAGTGGCAATGGCATAAAAAACACAGAGATTTGAATGTTTTGAAAGTAGGTTTTTGGGGTATGGCACAAACCCTGAAAAGGTGTGGCAACCACAGCTTTTCTGGGTTCGTGCCACACCCCATTAATTTACCCCAAAGAGAGTTTTAACGAACGAAACATATACAGTCTAATAGCCAAAATCTCATAGTTTCTATTATTTCTTTCGATTGATTAGAGCTTGAGCTATCCTTTTTTGAGCAATATTTGTTTGAAGCAAAATCATTGCAGGCGAGAAGTGAGACAGGTGAAATATTTGCTGACTTCTAATTCCATAGTCTGATGATTATTCGAAGCAGGATTCATGGTATTGCAAATAGGGAATAGTGCTTTGTATTGCGGACGGAAAGAGGTACTATTTGATTCAACTGACTTGACATCCAAAGGTGGGGCTTCGTAACCTAATTAAGGCTAGGTAGTGATCAGAGAGCACTAGCGCGAAAGAGACGCAGGTGCGTCGCGGGCGCGAGCGGCCTCGATTAGATCACAAAACTCCGCTCTAATAGTGCCAAGCCAGTTGAATCAAATGTTAGCTAATTCACTTTTGAAATATAGTGAAACATGATTGAAAATGACCACTTCACCTGGCAATTCATTAAAACTTGGCCCAAAAAGGTAGAGACTTGACATGATAATTTCGAATATGTTACTAATTATGCCAAAGCCCTTATGTCATGCCTACGGTAGGAAACTAGAATGCTGGGGGGAGGGAGACGGAGGGGTAAGTGGAGTATTGAGACAGAAACTGGAGGGGAGGGGTTTTTTTCGGCGGTTGTGTGCTACACCTCTTGCTCAACCCTGGTTACAGCGCACACATAATGATATGACCCAGAATTTGGAATAAACGGACATCGACTAAAAGGGGCGTAGCGCAGAGTACTGCGTAAAAATTATGTGACAAGAGGTTGTGGATAGCCTTTTCTTGGAAATTTCACACCACAAAATGACAAAATGGCTTGTTTGCCGCACAGATGACGATATGCCACGAGAATCGATGTGTATACGAGGAAGTGGACTAAGGAATAAAGTATTCAAAAACATGATAACTTATGTAAAAGAGCGTGCTTTATATGCAAATTAGTTGCAGTTGCCCACCTAATGTCCTCCTGAGGTGGATAGCAAAAACTTCCATTTTACATAAGTTTTTCAAAATTTCCACATAATTCTGTTCTATACCTAGAGCTCAGTATATGGTAATATTAGGTTGTTACATAAGTCTTGTTACACTTTACTTCTTACGGCAATAAGTCATGCATCTCGCATTCTTTACAGGGCTCCAGGGTACCATTGGATAGAGCAAAGCAAGCTCTACAGGAACGTTTGCAAAGGTTCGCACCAGCTTCGACGCACTGTAAGTTTGCATCCAAAATCTGAGTCGTACAGAAGGCTCAAAAAATGGCGAAATCATATCTTTGTTCAAAAAAAATCTTACGAATCTCTAACTTGCCGCAAAAATTGCACACTAAATCAGACACTCATATGTGCCATTGCTGTATTTTTCCTCATCTAGAAATCGAGAAGACGAAAATTTTCTTGTTTTTACAAAAATGAAGCTATGCGGTTTTTATTCATGTAGCTGTAAACTACAAGCCCTTCAAAGTATAACGGTAAATTTTCAGCTCTCCAGAGGGCTTAGTTTTCAAAAAATACCAAATTTAGCTTCTTCCATTCGGGTGTTCAATGCTAAATTCGGCATTTTTCGAAAACTAGGCCTTCTGGAGAGCTGAAAATTTACTGTTATACTTCGAAGGGCTTGTAGTATAAAGCTACATGAATAGAAACCGCATAGTTTTGTTTTTGTAAAAACAAGAAAATTTTCATCGAACAAACATGCAAACATACAGTGCGTCGAAGCTGATGCGAACTTCTGCATACCTTCTTGTAGAGTTTGCTTTGCTCTATCGAAGTACCCTGGAGCCCTGTAAAGAATATGAGGTGCATAATTTATCGCCGTAAGAAGTTGAAGTTAACAAGACTTATGTAACAACCTAATATTTTGATTTAGAACTCCTTCCTTTTTCCTTGTTAGGAGTAGCATCAACGCCTGTTTTGAGGAAGAAAGCGCACCAATCGAACAACCTATGCAGCTGAAGGCAAGTGGGAAATCGCAAAAGTCGGCAGTTGTGTGAACTTTGCCACCATCCTTCTGGGCCCTGTCTCAGCTAGTAAATTTATAAAACTCCATATTATTGAATGCGCTAAAGATCATCAGAATCAACTTTTTACAATTTTTGCAGCTCATTTGATTGTATTAATATAACATCTGCAAGGAAGACCACAAACGACAAAAAAAAAACTTTCTCTTTTTGTAACTTCGGTATCGACAAGTCGAAGTTCCCTTCAAGGTTCGTTGTATTGCTGGTAATCAGCTTATTTTGTAGCCGCAGCCCTATAGTATATGAACTAATAAAGATGAACGATGGCAATGCGCAAAAAGAGAAAAAATCTGAATCTGTTGACTATTTCGAGCTTATAGGCAGTGTCCCCGGCAGATTCACGTCCTCGGGGATATTGTTGTAGTGAGCTTTCTGGTCACCCTACTGACCTCCAGGGCACAGTCCGGCTAGGTGATGTTCCCCCTAGGCCGAGAAAATAGCCCCTGAATCGGCGCGCGCAACTCCATCGACGCGCGCTCGGACGACTTCGCTTACCGCTCGACGCGGGACCTCGCGACCGCTTTTTCGCATTGAGCATGTTATCCAAAGCAGAAATTACAGGCAGCAGGGTCGTCGTGTCAGGGCCCCGAACTTTCTATTGAAAGTCTCGTTCAAGTTGCCTTTTGGAAATTGGGTAAACGCCCGGAAAAAGGTTTTCTCACCGTTCCAAAACTTGAATTCGGAGTCTACGTATGGAAAAGGCTCAAAACATGCAAAAAGATAAAAATGCAAAATCTGCCAGGACACTACCTTTATGTTAGGAACGAATCCTAAGTAGTAAAAACGTCGCATTTTATGTTTCCAAAAAGATTGCAAATGTTTGCCTTCAACTTTCGGCCAAGAAAGCGGAGTAATTTCGCGTACATATGTTCAAAGTTCTGTAAAATTTTGAAAAGACCACAGGTCTTCTTGAGCCACAAAAAGTAAATAAAGAATACTTCCAGATAATGTGCAAGATATGTTCTTTCAAAGCGTTGTTGTAAAAGCGTCTAGATAAGCGGATACTTTTTGCACCTACACACCATCATTACATTATGATCTGGGATTGGATGGCTGTAATGTAGCTGGTAAATATAGTCGTGGTCGTAATGTATTCGTATGTATGTATCTTATGTATTAGGTTGGTGCAAAAGTAATGCGCGTTTTTCTAGCCCTTGTTTTAGGACAACTTTTCTCCATCAATCTCTCTTCTTCAGAAAAAACTTAGCATACCATCAAGAAGCTTCTTTCATCCTCTATCCAATGGTGCTTGAAACGAGCTTTGCTCCATTAGTTAAAACATAATAGAGCTTCAAAGAACTGCATTCGAAATCAGAATTTCATTGCGTTTACTTTTCTGGCCAGAAATCGAGCCCAAAGAAAGAAAAACTTTTGAAACTCTAGCTACTGTATTCAATGGAAATTGTCTACATTAAGCAAATCTTACTGTTTTCCCGAAGCTACCTAGACTGAGATTTCGGGCCTCAACATGGGCAGCCGTTTTGATCATTCTGTGTGACCCATAAATTTCCTTTGAAGAGGGCAATAGCCAAAGCTTTGCTCATTTCTGTAAGCGTAAGGGTGGACCTATTGACAGTTTTTACAGAGATGTATAGCTATTCATTAGGCAGAAAATTAGAAAAACTCCATTTTCTCTCCGTATACTCTCCGTATACATACACATTTTTTTTTGGTTCTGGAGCAAATATCGATGCAGCTAGCAAAAATTTGTTGCAAATTTTGCAATTTTTGGATCTATGGGAATTACTATAATGTTTAATAATTAGAACAAACTGTGGTTCTTTCTGCTGAATGTCAATTTGATTCTTTAAACCCAAAACTTACCTATACGAGGGGTGGTTGTAGTTGTAGTTGTTGTTGTCGTTGTCGTCGTTGTCGATGTTGTCGTTGACCTCTTTGGTTTTGTTGGCCTTGTCAATGTTGTTCCCCCAGTCATGCCTATAGCTTTGGCAGGTCGATGTGCTGTTAACAGTAAATATGTACAGTGCACTTACGAATACACCGCTCCTCACATATTCCAGGATCGACGCTCACGGTTTGATATATTCCGTTACTACACATATAGTATACGACGTAATTGCTACAAGTAGGATTAATGGTAGCATTGCATACAATGGTCTTTTTTTTACCTTACCCCTCAAAATTTTTATATCCGTCCTGTACTACTGGCCTGCAAACTCCTGCAATAAATCAAAGCGTGCACTACTTTTTCAAGTGAAGCTGTTACTGAGCAGGCATGAAAAAACTTCACTAATCACAGGTATTTTCCAAAAATATCGGACGAAATCGAAGAGCCAGATGTATCGCCTGCCAAATTCCGCGGCTTTCTCTCACAAAGAATGTGAGAAACACACGTGAAAGGCTATACAAACAAATCGAAGAAGTTTTTGAGCTTCTTTTACAATATTGGTTTTGTTCCTCAGATCTGTACATCTATATGGTCCTTCTTTATAGCAGCTCTTGAACGTAGAAAATATTGAATACTATACATTTTAACTACTTTAAATGCCTTTCTGGCAATAATTATTGCCAACTTCCGTGTTTTACGACTTACGGCCTCGACCATAGGCCCAGTCATAAAAGCGACCAAGTCGCCGTTCTCACGCTATTTGGCAATTTTGCACAGGTCTACAAATTGTCGCGTGCGGATTTCAAATAAATAAAAAGTTTTCGTAAGCTAGTGCAAATATACTGTGTCTTCTCAGACAATCGACCGGACCCCTCCGCCGGACGTCCGAATCTGCCAGAGTCGCGCCGGACCCAGTTGACCAATGAGAGCGGGGCAAATGGGCGGTCCGTCGCGGTGACATCACTGGCAGGCAAATGGGACGCTTCTCCGGCCCTGCTGCAAAGGTACGCCATTTCTCCGGCGCGACTCTGCCAGATTTGGCGGACTCGCGCCGGAGAAATTTGCCCAGCGCGAGTCCGCCAGATTTGGAAGAGCCGCGCCGGAGAAAATCGGAGGGGTCCGGAGCAGAAATGGGAGGCCTCCGGAGCAGAAAATGGGAGGTATCCGGAGCAGAAAATGGGAGGTATCCGGAGCAGAAATGGGAGGGTCCCGGAGCAGGCTGCGTATCGATTTGGCGCGTAGCCACGCTGTGAGATTTTGAGACGTTCTTAAAGGCTAACTATTCGAACTATTCGGCAAACTATTCGTCATATTTTCCTGCATTTCTCGCAATGAAGGTTGCGTTTAGACTTTTTCTTCTCAAAATCTTGATGTGTACTTTTACCTAATATCTATTTTCGTGCTAGATTTTTATTTTATTCAAAAGTGTCTGTGCTTTTCTACCGCGGATAGCGATTTCACTTACATGTCATTATCGAGCATGTTTCGGTTTTAGGGATGACTCCCCGGGACAGTGAAGTAGTCAGCCTTTGCCATCAAAGGAGTTGGGCCTGTTCAAAAAATGATAGTGAGTATTTTATGAGCTATTTCTAAGTAATAGCCTCACTAAATTTTTTTCCCATCCGAGTCTTTTGCTTCTGATTGCAGAAATCATACGAACAAAAGAAATATCGCTTTGGACTAAAGTATGCGAGGACAATTTTGAGTAATCCGAATTTCGCTGAACATGGAGGTGGATCTTTTTTTTGACTTTGATTTCATGCTCGCGTGATACGCATTACAGAAACCTTAGCAATAAAGGGGCTCATCCTTAACATGGGTAAGCAACAAGAAGCACAGGAATGTGTGAAAAGAGGTTTGAAGGTTAGAAGTCCTTTTTAGTTCTTTGTATAGTGTTTCACTCATCATTCCTGTATTTAGGCTGATTTGAAATCTTATGTTTGCTGGCATGTATACGGGCTTGTTCAAAGGTCAGACAAAAAATACGACGAGGCAATCAAGCTATTCCCTTTTTTCTGTTTTATTGATTTTATGGATATCTGTCTGGTTTAGGCATACAAGCGAGCTTTAATTCTTGACAAAGACAACATGCAGATTTTGAGAGATCTTTCATTACTCCAGATACAAATGAGGGGCTGTGAAGGGCGCAAAGTTGGTTCTTCTTGCTCAGTCCAGGAGACTTTCATTGTAATCACTTAGGAATCTCGTCATCATTTGCTGCGACTTCGGCCAACGCAGAAAGTGTCTTGGTTGCTTACGTCACAGCATATCATGTCTTGAAAGATTACGAGAAGGCACTCAATATACTAGTGGAATTCAGTCAAAACAATGAGGTAGGATAGTGCCACTTTTGCTGTTGTTCATGATTCTCTGCTCAAATCTCAAAAGTTCTTGCCTTGTTTTTGTCTTTTTAATTGTGACAATGTTGAATTTTTTCAATCATTTTTATTTGCTTCCAAGATAGTAGTGCGAAGAGGTAAGCGCTAAAGTCATGCTGATTTCTATTAACAAATTACTGCCATGTATCTTCAACTAACTTCTAAAAGTCTTCTCAATCTGTGTATAGGGGCCTGCAGGATCGCGAGAGTCGGACGTGCGTACGGCCATTGCGCTGCGCACGTCGTATGTCACTGGGTCGTACTCGATTTAGGCTGGATAGGTGAGATTTTTTTGTTTTTCTTCTCATTTCTCGCCTTCTTTTCTTTTCAGGCGGCGAACATATGTTGGTGCAGAGGAGTTTAAGATCTAGATTGAGGTGAGGTGCAGGATTATGCTCAATACGGGCCAATATTCTGGACTTTTCACCCCTGCTTTGAAGAATGTTGAGTTTTCTGTTCTGGCTGTCCGATTATGTTCGATTTTTCGTCCTACCTGCCCGGTTACGAAACTCCGTTTTATTTGCAACGTCTGTTCTACCTCATCTTGCATCATGCGCGTCATCACAATCATAATCATTGTCATCATCATCATCATCATCACAAGCAATATGCAAGATAAGGTAGAATAGACGGTAGAAATAGAACAGTTTGCTGTAACAGGGCAGCCAGGACAGAAAATCCAACATCTCAACCAGCAGGCATGGAAGGTCTGCAATATTGAGTCCGTATTGAGCATAATCCTGCACCTCACCTTAATTCAGATCTTAAACTCCTCCGCACCAACATGTGCTCACCGTCTGAAAAGAAAAGAAGGCGTGAAATGTAAAGAAAAACAAAAAAACTTACCTATCTAGCCTTAATCGACTACGACCCAGCGATATCAGGCGTGCGCGGCGCAAAGGCCGTACGCGCGTCCGACTCTCGCGATCCTGCAGGCCTATATTTTCCTATATGAGAACATCAATACCTGTGCTTGAGTCGGTATACGGCTGATAACAACCTGAGATATACCAAGAAGGTAGAGCATCTTCAGTCAGCTGTTAAATTATTCTGCTGTGTTGTTCTATTTGTGGGATAGTATTTTTTACCACATTGTACGCGATTTCACTCTAGCCTCTCTTCCTCATTGTAGCCTTCTTCCTACGACTTCGAGTACTCGGAACTTGTCCTCTATCAGAACTGATTTTCTGTGGAGCGGGCCAGCTCGAAGAGGCAATGTCAAAACTTGAGGAGAACGCCACTGTCATAATAGATAAAGTATCTTACATGGAAAGAAATGGTTTGTGGTAGTGCATTTATTTGCAAATTTGAAATAAATGTCTTATCTCTTCGTTCTTTCTTCTATCTTCTATCCACAAACGCTAGGGGTGAGAAGGAGGGGTAAAGAACGGGGTTGAGGGTCGCGCTGAACTCTTACCCGGGGGGGGGGGGTCGCATTCGGCTGGTTTGGGTGGGGTTTGGACAAAATTGGGGTTTGGAGCTTAATTAGGGCTAATTACAGTATGCCGCGGCAGACTTGCGGAGCACAAAATCGGGGGGCTCCGGCGCACAAAATCGGGGGGCTCCGGAGCAGAAAATGGGAGGTATCCGGAGCAGAAAATGGGAGGTATCCGGAGCAGAAAATGGGAGGTATCCGGAGCAGAAAATGGGAGGTATATGGAGCAGAAAATGGGAGGTATCCGGAGCAGAAATGGGAGGTCTCCGGAGCAGAAATGGGAGGGCTCCGCCGGACGAGTGGGAGACCCACCGCTGGGGAAACGCCACGACCCTGCCATTTCTCCGGCGGAGGAGTCCTATCCGTTGCCTGAGTTCCTTGCACAAAGTGCTAAAATGAGGATGAGCATGGTAGCTATTCAAGTAGCTGTTAGTGATTGCGTGATTTATGAACGATGCTTTGAGTTGGTTGTACCGTCTCCCCAAATTGAGAATGATAAAATTTTGGTCGTATATTAGCGGCGCCCCTAAGCAAGCAGTTGCCCCAATTTCGCTGCAGAAGAGCACTGCAAAGCGAGAAAACCGCTCCTGAAGGTAGAAGTAGTTACGCTGCTTTCGCTCATAAACAATGGTCTGGTGATAACAGGTTTGAACTTGAGATAACTTGAAATTCAGCAAGTAAATAGAGAGGTCGCAAACGTGATGGTCATTATGTATGGCTTTTTGTGTGGGTTGACACTTCTGGATACATTGATGGTCTAAGTATAAACTTGTTATCTTCAGACCATCTAGGTTGATGGGTATGGCCAGTGTTCTATTTTTTAAAGACCAGAGTTGATTGTTTCATCATTTGCGGCGAGACATGGGCGATTGGTTAGAGGTACCGCTATTATAGAGCATCAAGTCTCATCACCTCAGTTTAGATGGAAGGTGCTTTTGAGGTATCGTCGAGTCATTTGTAACTTAATTGCACAGTATACACGCTAACTGACGAACATCGAAACCAGAACCTGTAGATTCCAGTGTTTTCTCCTTATTTCCTTGTTTCTTTTGTTTTAGTTGGTTATATGTTAGTCATTAGACACATTACTACATTTTGTTGGGTTAGAAAATGTTTTACTGGGAAATTACTAGTATAGGTGCCTTCGCTAAAAGGGCTTAGTGTGCAATCTCACATAGTAAGTCACAAATGACTCGAGGTTACCCTATCTCCAGGTGCAAGCCGCACACGTTTGTTTGACTGCGAGCAGATCCGGGCACATCGCTGTGCTTGCTTCACTTAATCGTTCTGCGCAGGGTCTCTTAGGTAAGGTTTCCACTATAATGCATCATACAGAATTCTTTGATATGCCAAAAAATGAAATAAAAAGCAGGACTTGCGCAATCAAAAATGTAACGGAGGAAAGCTGACAACTTACGGCATTCTTTCACACAAAGATCAAAGAACTGGAATGGACGACCATCGAGCATGCATTTGAATTCGAACATAAACCCTACGGGAGGAGGTATAATACAGAGCGAATCCTCATAATCTGGGTAGTAATCTAAACACAATAGTTTAAAGATTTTACCTTCACTAATCTTTCCTAACTTTTAACTTCCTTCCACCAAACTTCCCCTCCCTCACTCTACGCTCCCTTTTTCTCCCTACTCCATCCTCTGTCACTCGTCCTTCTCCAGCGAATGCTAATAAAACTTATGAGTAGCACAACGAACAAATGAAAAAGAAAAAGGGAAAGAAAACGCGAAGAATAATGTCAACAAACATCTGATGGAATCAAAACATTGGCATTGAATAATGATTCGCTTATGGGCGCTCTTTCCGATCGGAGCAATTTCCATTAACGCCGTTAATGGAAATTTGCTCAGGGTCAAAGTCTAGAGAAAAGATTACGAAGTTGTTTTTTTTCTTGTATAAAAACTGCGAAAGTAAAGGAAAAACTTAAAATAAAGTGCAAAGGAACGGGTTCAACTCAACTGGAACCCAAATGAACAGTTTCAGCTAATCCGGAAGAATGTTGGGCACGTTTTTCATTTGCATAGTTTTTCATGGTTTTTGAATCATAGAATCCCCTCGCGCGCATGTGTATACCAAATTGGCGTCATCTCATTACGATTGCTATCGCTTTCAAATGTTTGGAACACAATTTTGAATTCCTTGTAAGCTGCCAGAAGTCTCAAGGTTGAGCATGCCGCCAGTATTTCACTTTCAATTTGCCAAAACTAATGTGCACGTACAGAATGAATTTGAAAATAAATTTGGGATGTTCTAATATTGTTTTCTATTATACAATAGAATATTCATACAAAACATGGCTTTGCAATTTTTCCGAGGCTGAGCCCAGGCCTTGGAACGATAGTCTCTTTGCAATCTTGCAAAAAAGTTATCCGGTTTGACCTAGTTCCAGCTGTACCGAGCTTTAAAAATAAATTAAGAAGCATGCAATCTAGTGTTGTGCTCTATTGCTCTATCGTTAAAATGCATGATCTCCCCTGTTCTTGGACTAAATAGTCTTTAGCGGTTAAAGTACGAGGAGAAGAGGAAAACTCGCTTGAATTGCGTAAAGCGCAATGCGCTGCATATTGCGCGTAAACTACACTCCGTGGATCCTTCATTATCGCCAACACAAATCAAGTTTCCTCAGTGGTGCAAAGTGAGAGGCATGTACCTCCTAAGTGTCTCATTCAATGGCAAATCAAACAGACTCTCAACCAGCGATGCAAAATGATGAAATATCATAACGACGACCTTTCTCGTTCATTGTATGGTATTGAACTCACCTTGCACGTTAGAGCTCACAATTCTGTGATGCTCATCTATATCGTTCTGGAAGGAGCCGAACACGACCACAAGGCCAACTTGACACAACGCGCATGGAAAGGCCTTGAAGTATTGCGTGAATCTGTTGAAAAGCATTCTATCCAGGTATCTGTAAGTGGCAAAGGAAGCGGTTCAGTTGTGATTAAGCAAGTCAGACAAAAGTTTGTTAAGCAGCATCTAGCAGACACGATCTGCAGGCCTGCGTCTACAAATTTTTTGATCTATTGTACACTTAGAGATCTGACAGAAACACAAAAGTGCAGCACACAGTTCGCGGACTATGTCATCCAAAGCCCTCATTTAACCCATGATTAGTGGCGCTGCAGATGCAATAAACCGCATTTCATGGGATTTCTAGATCGTGAACCAACTCTTGACAGAAATAATCATTTGTCCTAAACTCAGCAATTCCCAAAGCAAATGCAGCACTAGAAAACTATATGTTGTTATCTAAGATTACGACACAGTATTTGCGCACCAGTATTGAAGATGATGACGCATCACAAGCTATTAGATGTATTTGATACCTAGTTCTCCATGTTCGACTTTCGGTGGATCTTGGTACCACAATATCGTTGTTTTGATTGGCTTAACCTCCATCAAGATTGCAACAGCTCTTATTTTGGCTGACGCCTCGGCCAACTCTCCTTCGTCGGAGCTGTAAGTGAGGAACAAATGAGATATACCCTCCCAAATGTCTCATCAAATGCAAGGGAACAGACTTCAAATTGCCAAACGATGCGAGGGTCAACAGTCACCTTAGTTTGCCGAATGTGTCGTGGACCACAGTGACGAACGAATGAATCATTAGTGAGCTAGTTCCCCGTTGTTGCGATTGTAGGTTAAACCCGCAGAGTCCAGAAGGCTCGACTTCATTAGTTATGGCAATGCGCTCATCAATCCTGTTAATTTTGGGATTTGGAGGTTTCCGCTTTGGCATCAGTGTCAGTGATATCAGTGTCTTTGAGTATGCGCTAGGTTACGAAAGGCTTTCTGCTTTTGATGGTCTTGGTTGCATTGCAAAATATGAAGACTGGACAAAGGTAGCTTTTCAAAGCAGAATTTTGCAAAACGGACATTATTTTTGCAACAACCTAGTGCTATGTCTTATGCGATCTGCGCCATAAAGAAAAAAATGCCGATCTCACCATCTGATACTACTGACAAGGACAAAACAGTGCAGTAGTTGCTCGCCTACACGTACTCATCAATTATAACATTAAAAAGAGTGTTATATGGAGTATACAATAGACTGATATGATATGTATGAATGATTTGAAGAATAAATTGAAAAACTACATCGATAACATTGTGTGGGAGGTATCAGATGTTAATTAGTCTTTCCTAAAGAATTTGTATAATATTAGATTGGCGGATAATTTCTGTTACACTTTTATTTTTATTTTTTAAAAATCTAAGAAACTTTCAAAAATTCTTATGTTCGAGGGGTGTTGGCGGGGTGCAAAGGTCTACCCGTCGGTACCGTCAGATCCGCGATCTGTGCGCAAAATACCCACTTTATCGGTGGGAGTACATTTTATGGGCATTTTTGTCAGCGGGTTGGCATTCTTCCAGGTGACTGGGAAGTGGTCGGGCGATGTGGTATTCAGACAGGGTATGACATAGTTTTTAGCGAACATAGGGGGAATGGCACAATCATGTCGGCACACGATCACATGAGCTACATGTTGCGCCATGTCAGTGCACATTGGCATTTTGACATGAATGACAATCTCTGAAAAATTACAAAACTTATTTCCAATCTTTACGTGTCAAATCCCTACACGATACACACTAAACGAAAAATTTTCGACGAGTTTTTGATTTTTTAGGTTGTTTTTCACCCCTTGTTTTTAGCATGCTAGCGGCACTAAAATGCTACCACAAAAGACAGGTTGCGAAAATATGTCCTTAAAAAAATTTATGAGAGAGAAAAAACACAATGAGACGCAGAGAAAAAAATCAAAGAAAAAATGACAATTTTGAGTGTTTTTATAAAGTTGTTGTAAAGTCGCTGGCTTTTGTGCATTTGCGGCACCAGTTGTACAGATGTGTACACCCTGCCGCGGCCTACATATGAAGCAACTTTGAAGATTTTAGAGAACTTCTGAAACTTTTCAGAATTTTACAAAAAAGTGTAACAGAAATTATCCGCCAACCTAATACATCATAGTCACGTGCTACGTTGAAAAATGGCAGTAGTTCTTGCTCGTTCGGGCAGCACAATGTGGCTACGCCAAAATACTTCACTACAATCATGCTGCACAACGATGTATAGGGCTAAGTACACCTTTGATGCGTCACATATGAACACATGTTTCAATGTGTATTCAAAATTTGGCCAGCAACCAGGACTTCCTATCAACGGTAAAACGGCAATGTGTTGCAAGGAGCACTCGCACTCATACCTTCGATACATAGAGCCATGTACTCTGGTAACCTTCACTTTGAGCGTCATGATAGAACACAACCTTCACCTGGGGAGAAGTACAGAAGTCATCCGGGGCGAAGCCCCGGAAATTATGACATAACTAATGACATAGCCGTATAGGGATGAATTTAAATGAGGCAAATATAGCAGTGACATTTAAAAGAAGCTCAAAAACACCGAAGGATTGCGTTTTTATGGTCTTTTTAGTTGAGAAGAAGGTTTTCATTAAAAAATTCAAACAAAAGCTAGGGCAAAATTTCTCAATTAACCTTTCTCTGAACTGCGGTTGAATGTTGGAAGTTCATTAAAGCCGCTAGAGTTCAATAAAAACGAAAAACTGCGCTCAAATCTTGCGCAAAGAGTCGCCATATGAATGCTGGTCTATCTCGTCATGGAGTGATTTTCAAGACCCGCGACGTTGTCAGTGCTCCTGGCCGTCTCATGAGGATCACAACGATATATATTGTTGCAGGGTTTCGTTGAGACTCTGCGAAGATCCACGATCAGAGCCAAATGCCCCGTCGGCTCTGGTCTGTCTCCGCTGCTCGTCTGCGTCTCCGCACGCTGCGCGCTATCTCGCTACCTCAAATGCGGGGCGCGGGGCATTTGGCTCTGGTACCCTTTTCTTCGTTGTTCGGAGCCCAATTTCGATAATCTATATATCATATTAAAGCTCTTGATCTCTATTTTCACGCTGACAACGTCGCGGAACTTCTTTTTAGGACTTAAACGAGAAATTCTCGAAAAACGGCGTCTTCGAAAACCTCTTGTTTTTTCTTCAGTTTAACCTTTTTCACTCGGTTTTTTTTTGTATTCGATAGGTCTTGTTTCTGTCTATGATGTAGACAACGTCGCCGAGCTTACTTCTTTGCTTATGCCGGTTTTTTTGTAAAAAATACAAAAAAGTGCGTTTTTCTTTACCTTGTTCTCTTTCTGTGCTTTTGCAGCGAATTTTTTCCAGCTTGCACGATACTTGCTTAGAATGATGAGCGGAAGAATCCAGAAAACGTCGAAGCGTACGAAACGACTATGCGGGGTGAAAATTTAAAGGACGCATCAAAAATCACATTGGCGTCGATGTGCAACACAACTTTACAGACATGTTTAACATGTTCAATTCAGTTGTTGACAATTTCTTCTTCTTTCGGTCTCCCAACTAACGCCACAGCTAAACAGCGCTTTTTTTGAGTGGAAAAGAACTTTGTTGTTGTTGCCACCCAATTTAACCAGCAATCCTGGAGACGAAACTCTGCGTAGGAAACCACCAAGTTAAGGTTTCAGATTTGGCGATGTGCTAACCTCTGCTTTATATGAATTTTCTAGGTTTTCTAATTTGATTTGTATCTCTAAATTTTCGTCCATTTTTCTGAAACAACCTTCACTTTTTATAGCGGGCAGGAACTCAAACAACTATCACTTTCTAGCCTCTGTCTCTTGACTATCGAAGGTATGCTCGCACTTGCTATCTTATGTATACTTCATTTTTTTCGTTACACAGGATGGAAACTTACGTAAGTACATCATTGATGAGAACAGTGATCTCTTCGATTTACCTCACATGCTAACTCCGCATGATTACCTTACACAAACAGTCAAGTTGTGTCGGTAAAAATTTCGCGACAACACGAACTGTCAATTATCGAAACGCATGGTGAACGTAATCGTTGCAAGCAAGAGACACAGCTGATAGAGTTTCATCGTCTACAATAATAAAACAGCGCCCGATCAAGACCTAGATTGTTGGATATTGCCCTGCTAAAGTTATGAACATAACGCCTGAACGGGCAGCATCCATCGAAGTTGGGATTTCCTCGCCCGATGTGGCCTACTTACTAATTTACTAGCTGGCTTACCCGGCTCCGCCGTATCCGGACCAAACTTGGCACACATACACTTCAGGCCCCGGCGGGTGTCACAGTCCACTTTTCGTTATCGATCGATGTCGATTTTACCGATTTTTATCGATTTTTTTGCAGAGTTCACCTACAGGGCTAGGAGTTGGCACAGGGGGGGAAGTGAGCATGGGGATTCCGAATACAATATTAGTTTTCAGAATTATCGGTTACTTTTATTGATTTTATCGATTTTTTTGTAAAGTTTGACCTGCGGGGCTGGGAGTTTGCACAGGGGGGCAATCGAGCATGCAGATTACAAATACAATATTAGTTTTCAAGATCGTCCATTACTTTTATCGATTTTATCGATTTTTTGCAAAATTTGAGCTAGGGGGCTGGAATTTGGCAAGGGGGTGTAATCGAGCATGCTGATCACCCCCCTTGGGGGTGATCAGCATGCTTGATTACCCCCCTGTGCCAACTCCCAGCCCCGTAGCTCAAACTTTGCAAAAAAATCGATAAAATCGATAAAAGTAATCGATAATCCTGAAAACCAATATTGTATTCGGAATCCCCATGCTCGATTACCCCCCTGTGCCAACTCCCAGCCCCGTAGCTCAAACTTTGCAAAAAAATCGATAAAATCGATAAAAGTAATCGATAATCCTGGAAACCAATATTGTATTCGGAATCCCCATGCTCACTTCCCCCCCCCCCTGTGCCAACTCCCAGCCCCGTAGGTGAACTCAGCAAAAAAATCGATAAAAATCGATAAAATCGATATCGATCGATGACGAAAAGTAGCCTATGACACCCGCCGGGGCCCGAAGTGTATGTGTGCCAAGTTTGGTCCGGATCGGTTCAGAAATGGAATTTTCTATTCGGAACATACGTACACACAGACATACATACATACATACATACAGACAAACAGACATTCAGCTTTATACAGAGTGTCCCAAAAAGATGTGCACACTGTTTGATCGGTAATAACTCTCTTGCTTTCATGTTTTTTGCCGAGCTTGAGGTACCATTCTGTAGAGCGAGGATAAACTTAGATTTACTGTATGGAGCGAATTACTAATCACTCTTTGTTACTATAGGATCACGGTATAAACTTTTAGCATACAGGTCGCTGTGGAATAGGCCTTTTGATGAAATAATCTCGAAAAAATCTAAAAATTTTTGTAGTAAGGTTTTCAGGCGTGCTGATTTCACTACATAACTTTCCACCAGTTTTTCGAGCTTTCTTGATGGCGTATTCACATTTCTGACTAGCATTGGAAAATTAGTTGTCACCCTAAATTTGAAATAATTCGTGAAAGAAACAGTGCAATGATGTGCAATTTTCATATTTAGAATCAGCAACTTCATTAACCCAGTTCAAAAGTTTCTGGCTTCTTTGGCTTTCTTTCTAAGGCAAAATACCGCTTTTAATGGCTTAAAACCCTCCTCAAAATTAGTACCGTAATCCCACAGTAATGAAGAGATGCTGATAAGTCGCTCCACACAGGAAATCTAAGTTTATCCTCGCTCTACAGAATGGTACCTCAAGCTCGGCAAAAAACATGAAAGCAAGAAAGTTATTAACGATCAAACAGTGTGCACATCTTTTTGGGACACCCTGTATATAAGACTAGCGATCCTACGGGTCGCTAGTAGGTGGGTGGGGGC